TTTAGGGTTAGGAGTAGGGATTAGCTAAGAGGTTAGAGTTATGGATAGGGTTATGTTTATGCATACGGTTATGGTTATGTTTAGGGATAGGGTTAGGGTTCACTGTTCAGGGTTAGAGTCAGGTTTTTGGTTGAGGGTTAGGGTTATGTTTAAGGATTAGGGTTAGGTTTAGGATTAGGATTATGGTTAGGGTTCATGGTTAGAGTTAGGGATAGTTGTTGGGTTCAGGGTTAAAGTTAGGGTTCAGGGTTACAGCCAAGTCGAGGTTTAGTGTTAGGGTTAGGTTTGGGGTTAGGCGTCCCTTTAGGGTCAGGTTCAGGGTTATGACATTTTTGTTTTTGATCTCAGAATGTTGAATGCTTAGGGGACTATTAATATTTGCACAATTTGTGGATATTACATTGTTTTGGAATTACATATGGATCATTTATGCCTTCTCCCAAACGTGCTGCTTCTGTAATTATCTGGGAAGGATACTACCCCACCCAATTTTAGGGACATATCCTTCTATTTGAACATTATACTTCCCAATTGAGGTTGTGACACACATACAGAAATCAAGGGTCACTTTAAGAGACTTGAATCATCTGACCCAGTACTTACTTAGAAAAAAGACAAAGTAAAATAAACTTTAAAAGGTCAACAAGTTTCAGTGGGGTAGAGGAGTTGTATTCAGATCAGATCACAAGCCTCTTCCCACTATACGTTTAGGAAATTGTGTGGCCTATAGAACAAGAAAGTGAAATTAGATAAATACCAGTGGCCTTAGTAAAGGCCTACTCCAAGATCACGTCCAGGGTATATAAAACATCCACAAATGTGTCGAAGGGTAGACTTTTATATCTGAAGAGGGTACACAGGGAAACGGATATTTTCTGACGGTAACTTTCTCCTTTACATCTTCTGAGAGATCTCCACCTGACAACTCTGTCTCCACACAGCTATATTGTATATATACCACTGCATGTCTGTCTGTACATACAGACATCTATCTCCTGCCTAGCCATGCATATCAACACAGTCACAGCTCTTTTCTGTACAGCTTCATCTTCCTTGTCTGTGCACAGTTGCAGCTTTCAGCATACAGACACATCTTTCCCTACACACATCTCTCTTACACACACATCTGTCTCCTACACAGCAACATCTGTTTTATCTTTCTGCACACTTAGCTACGTCACTGGACATATTTCTTATAGTTCTTACATCTTTCACACAGCGGTGTAACAGGGAGGAGGAGGAAGGAAGGAGAAAAGAAGGACGCAAGTGGGAGTGGAAAGAGCTGTGAAGAGGGGAGGGAAAACAGTCTTTTTGAAAGAGAAAGGAAAGTAGTAAGGAAAGAAAGAAAGAAAGAAAGAAAGAAAGAAAGAAAGAAAGAAAGAAAGAAAGGGCAGTGGGAAGGAAGAAAGGAAAGGAAGGAAGGAAAGTGGGAAAGAAGGAAGGAAGGAAGGAAATAGAGATTGCTCATCAGGTAAAGTGCTTGCTGTAGGCAAGTGCTGATTTTCATTGCTGGGACCCCTATGGTGAACAAAGAGAAGCTACTCACAATAGTTGCCCTCTGACTTCTGCACTTGTGCTGTTGTTTTATGCTTAACAACAGCACAGGAAAGAACTTCAGGATATGCTCTCTTAGACGATTATTCATGGCCAGGGTCCGCGCCTGCAGGCCCTGGGGTCCACAAGGCATGGAAGTGCCTCTGGGAGAGCCT